TTGAGGCATTTCTGTGTTGCCGACTTTAAAGTGTGTGTGTGTGTGTGTGTGAGTGGACGATTCAGATGGTCATTCCTGTGATCGATATGATGGTGCTGATGGTAATGATGATGCTGATGATGATGATGATGATGATGATGATGATGATGATGGTGATGATGATGATGATGATGATCATGGTTCTTGCGTTGGTGATGGTATTCATGATGCTTGTTGGTGATGATCGCGATTTTCTTGGTGATGTGTGTATGTGGGTGCCCCTGTTCTCGTTCCTGTTTTTGCGCGGGTGCTGGTGGTTTTGGAATGCGTGGGAGGGGGGTATATATATATTCTCATGTGCACAGTCTTGCAATAATGCCCAGAGAAATCGTTATGCCAAGTTGCCATGACAGCAGCAGGCGCATGCAATATTGCTGGCAGAAGTTGAGTTATCGGGGCAGGCGTTGCGTGGTTTGTAGTTATTGCTACATGTTCAAAATCAGTTTCAGGAAATCCGTGGAGCACAAAAGCCAAAGTGGCCTGTGGTTATTTTGGACATGCAACGTCAGTCCCAGGAGTGAAGATTCGGGATTTGGCGAAGGGCTCAATGTGGTTCACTGCAGGATTTTAGTTTCAAATTCGTCTAATTCTCGGATCACGAAGAGCGCGAAGTGGGCTCACGTTGGTTCTGTTACTCAAACTTATCCCAAGAGTGAAGTTTTAGATTCACGGGAAGCTGACGTGGGCTTTAGTTGGCTCCGGACATTCGTAGTTCGTTGGTGTTGTTTTTGTTTTTCTTTTTCTTTCCCACAGCATCCCGCGAATCAGAAACCTCACCACTCCTTTGTTTCGCGCAAATCCACAGGCAAGGTTGTTGCCGTCGGCGCGCCACGCTTGTATGACCATAACCAATAAGCAATGTAATGCGCGGCTTGATGCGTGCGGATTTTGCGGGTTGACATTACCAGTTCGATTGTTGTCGTTTGTCTATCTTGAGAAGTCGCCGGTTGTGGCCTATACATTTCACCACACATCTAACAACCAGTCAATCCATATCAGCAAATACTTACAGGCATCATGTATGTAATACGCATGATGGCGCACATGTCGGCGCGCCATTCACATGTCCTGTGGCCTTACAAGGGGGCCGCTCCGAAGTTTCCATGGTGAAGGTGCACATGCGTCTTCCCGCTTTTGTTTGGCATTCTTCGCATTTCCCGTGGCCTCACAGTGATTAGATGGAAAACTTCAGGGACAGTGCCCAGATGTCCCCAGGGCACTGCGCTCCCATGGTCATTCGCGAGTCATTTTTCGGATTTCCGTTTTGTTTGTGGTATCCAGGTTTCCGCATTGTTGGGCTAATCGCCGGCTAACGCTATGTTCGATCCGCTCTTTCTTTCGGCCTTTTATCACGGTGGCAAGTTTTATGATCGTTTCTGTTTTCGTATATCATGCTGTTGTGATGTACAAACGTAACATTTCCATCAAATGTACTTGGTTCGCTGTCGTATACGTGCGTACAAAACACTTACCGGATCGCTACATCACGCACCAGAGGATTGTGAGGATTGTGTTTTACATTACCATGTCAGACAATGCAAACAATGCAAGCGTGTCTTGCCACACGCCATGCTACGTCATAGTTTGTTGATTATTATTTAATATGATACATGGCCGTGTGTATCGGGTGTGTACTGTAACACTTTATGTTCGGTGGTATCATGTTCCGTTGTGATATCATGCAAGTTGCATACGGGTGGAGCGTCACACTCAGTTCATTGTGTACGAGCGGGGCCGGGTCCAGCTCCATGTGTACGGTATGTTGTTTTTTGTGTAAGGTTTTTGTATGCCCAGTGCGTGCCGGCGGATGGTTTTCTTGAGTTGCGTTGACATTGAAAGACTTTATGTTTGTCATGAGTGATTGTTTTTCGTGGCCAGGAACCGATTTGGGCTTGTCCCTGCTTCTCCCGCCCCCAGCGTTTGCTCGCCGTCGCCGCCGATTTTTTTGATTCGGCCTTGTCGCCGGCTCTCTTTGGCCCTGCTGAATGCACTCCGTCGTGTTTTTTATGATTCGGCCGTGTTCCCGACACTCTTTGATTCTCGTGCCCATCCCGTTCGGCTTTCTTGTTTTTGGCCGCGTCCCTGACTGGCTCTGGTTCTCGTCCTCGATTTCCTTGTTACGATCTTGTTTTCGACAATGCAGCCACAGACTGCTGCTTGCCGTGCGTTGGCACTCGAATTTTCTACGTTGCGCATTGTCCCCGCCGATCCTTAGATTTGGTTCCTGCCTTCCGGCGCCGCCGATTTTTGATAATTCAGTCCGTCCGTGTGTTCCTTGCCCTCTCGGTGCCCCCATGGTAACTGATTCTCTCGGCTCGGCTTTGTTCACGGCTGTCTTCGGCGCTGGTGCCTCCCATGGCCGCCACTTTCATTCGTTCGGCGTCCCCGACGGTTTTGTATCTTGGTGCGTTCGCCTCCTTCGTCGCGAGTTCGTTCGCTCGGCCTCGTGCCGTGTCGCTGTCCCTGGCCCTGGTGCTCGGCCTCCGTCGCTGGGTGGGTTCGTTTCCCGAGTGCCCTGCCGTGTCCGGCCTTGGCGTTTACCTCCTGTCGCCGCCAGCCTCCCCTCGTCGCCACCCTTTTCTTTGTTTCGGCCTTGCTGCCTGCCTTCCGTCGCCGTCGACTTCTTTCGTGCGGCCCTGTCCCCGACTGGCCCTGGCTCTAGCGCGTGCCCCTCCGTTGCCTTTGGTGCCTTGTTGGCCAGCCTTGCTGGCCCCTGACTGGCCTGGTCCTTGGTGCTTTCCTTGCGTCGCCGCCGATATGTCCTTGGTTCGGCCTTGTGTTTTTTTCTCTGATTGTGCCATGCTTGGCTACTAGCCTCCCGTCGCCGCCAATTTCGCGAGTTTTCTTTGTTTGGCCGTCACGCCGTCACCGACAGGCTGATCTCTTGGATACTTATATGAGTTTCGCGCGCTGGTCTCATGCGTGTGAGTTTGATGCCAGGTAGTGTGTTGACATCGCTGTATTCTTTTGAATGCTTTTAGCCATGATCGATTTGTTCAGGCGGCCTTGCCCATGGGGGCCCTATTTTGTTGAGGCGCGGAGCTTGTGGGTTTTGTTGGTAGCATCAGTGCTCGTGTGCAGTTGAAGGCAATGGTGCAGTATCTCTTCACAATGTGCCAAGTAGTCTGTTTATCCCGCTGCCTGCGGCCAACCCGCCGCCATCTCAGGGCAGCGTTGGCCTGCAGATGAGATGGTTCGACTGAGCCAGACTAGCGTGGAACGGCGAACGCAGAGCAGAGGATGGTCCTATCTGATTTTCCCGAGCAGCATTTGGGCCGTCTGGGAAATAATGTTGCGATGTTGGCGTAACCGTTTTTTTTTGCAAGGCTGTTGTTTTGCGTCTTGGAGGCGGATTTGAGGCATCCCGGGGGCGTCTACGGGCTCTCCCGGGGTTCCTCTTGGGGCGTTTGAAGCCTTCGTGGCGACTTGTGGGGGGTCTTGAGGCGCGATGGTTCTATTGAGCTCTTGCGAAGAGTCTCGGGAATACCGTTTTGGGGGCAGTCTGGTCGGGCCCGTTTTGAGAGGTTCCCTGGTCGCCTGAGGCCTTTCGAGCCATCTTGGGGCGGCCTTGCTTCATTTTGTTTGGTTCCTTCTTGGGGCGGCCCTGGTTCGAGACATCGGGAGCTCCACCGAAGGCCCCAGTGGTTGCTCTCGCATGCGTTTCCCGTACCCTGGGCAGCGTTTCGTGGCCCCACAGGGAGCTCCACCGAAGGCCCCAGTGGTTGCTCTCGCATGCGTTTCCCCCACCCTGGGCAGCGTTCCGTAGCCCCATAGGCAGCTCCACCGAATGCCCCAGTGGTTGCTCTCGCATGCGTTTCCCGTACCTTGGGCAGCGTTTCGTGGCCCCATATGGAGCTCCACCGAAGGCCCCAGTGGTTGCTCTCGCATGCGTTTCCCCCACCCTGGGCAGCGTTTCGTAGCCCCATAGGGAGCTCCACCGAATGCCCCAGTGGTTGCTCTCGCATGCGTTTCCCGTACCTTGGGCAGCGTTTCGTGGCCCCACAGGGAGCTCCACCGAAGGCCCCAGTGGTTGCTCTCGCATGCGTTTCCCCCACCCTGGGCAGTGTTTCGTAGCCCCATAGAGAGCTCCACCGAAGGCCCCAGTGGTTGCTCTCGCATGCGTTTCCCCCGCCCTGGGCAGCGTTTCGTAGCCCCATAGGGAGCTCCACCAAAGGCCCCAGTGATTGCTCTCGCATGCGGTTCCCCCACCCTGGGCAGCGTTTCGTGGCCCCCTAGGGAGCTCCACCGAAGGCCCCAGTGGTTGCTCTCGCATGCGTTTCCCCCACCCTGGGCAGCGTTTCGTAGCCCCAGAGGGAGCTCCACCGAATGCCCCAGTGGTTGCTCTCGCATGCTGTTTCTCCACCCAGGGCGGCGTTTCGTGGCCCCATAGGGAGCTCCACCGAAGGCCCCAGTGGCTGCTCTCGCATGCGGTTCCCCCGCCCAGGGCAGCGTTTCGTGGCCCCATAGGGAGCCCCACCGAAAGCGGCACCCACAACGCGTTACGAACAATTGCTTATGGTTGGGTCCTTCGCCAGGATAACATTTGTTTTTTGTTCATCTCAGTTTTGACATGATCATCGCCATGCCATGGTCATCTGCAGCACTTGCGAACAAGTATTGGAACAGTGCAGCAGAGCTCAGGACATCCTTACGGATAGGCAGGGTACTTGCACACGTGGACCTCAGCTCTGTATCCGTTCATTTTTGATGGCTTTGGCTCCGATGCCCAGTCCGATTGCTGCCTTCGAGGACCTTAGGCCTCATTTCTTCAGCTACAGGCTTCCCGCATGCGCGCGTGAACGCGCGGCGTTCTTCATCACGTCTCACGCTAACAGTCTGTGTGTGTTTCGTAGCCTTTTGGCTCAAGGCCGCTGGGGCCCCCCGCGCTGCCAGGGGCGTCCAGGGGGCGGGTGCCATGCCAGAGCCCGCCTCCGCCTCCCCGCGCGGCGCGCGTGGCCCAGGGCCGTTGCTCCAGCTCGCCTGGTCGCGATGGCGTCGGCGCTGGCCGCGGTGCCCCCGCCGCCTGCGGCAGGAGCTGCGGCCGCCATCTCCGCGGCGCCGCTAGCGTCGGCGGTCGCTGCCGCGCCAGCGGCCGACGTCTCGCCAGCAGCTGCCACCGCACCAGTGGCAGCCGCCGCGCCGGCAGCCGCTGCTGCGTCCGCCGCCGCGCTGCAGGCGGCGACTGCCGCGGCGCGCGCGCAGGCGGCCCCCGTGCACGCTGTGCCGACGGCGCCAGGGGCACCTGCAGCAGCGGCGGCGGCGGCGTCGGTGCTGGTGCCAGCCCCGACCGCTGCTTCTGGCACGCCGACCGCCGCTTCTGGCACGTCGTCGGTCACGCACACAGAGGCGGCCCCAGCTTCCGCAGCAGAGTGCCCAGCTGGGGCGACGGCGTCAGGTGCAGGAGCTCCCAGGCCCACGGCGAATGCACTTGCGGCTCCATCATGCTCTGAAGCTGCCGCCGCATTGGGGACCAGAGTTGAGTCGGCTGCCTCTGCGCTCTCGGCTGCCACCGCTCCTGCGACCGTCATTGGGCCTGCCGCGGCGGCAACACGTGCGCCAGTGATGGCGGGTGCAGCCAGCGCCCCTCAATCAGTCCCCGCAGGGGTGGTTGGTTCGGGTGCGCTGACGGCGCCAGCAGCCAAGTCTCCTGCGACTGCAGGGGCCGCAGCACCCCGTCCGCCCGTCACTTCCAGCGCGCCCACAGTCGCACCCAAGGCAGACACCCCAGCAACCGGCGTGAACGTTTCTCCAGTGCGCCCAGCCGCGGCGGCCCAATCGTCCCCTCTGCCCTTGGCGAAGGCACGGGCAGCACCTGCGTCGCCCGCGGCGCCCGCGGCATCTGTGGCAGCAGCAGCGGCCGCAGGGACAGCCCCCGGTGGCGGTTGCCTGGGCCGAGCCGCGGCAGGGCCCACGGAAGGGTCTCGGCCCAGCGCGGCGTTGGCACGGGCCTCCAGCGCTGGCCCGACGGCGCCTGCCGGCGGCACGGCGCCAGCGACCACCGCGGGCCTCGCCGCTCCAGCGGGCCCAGCGCCCGCGCAGCTACCTGCGACGGCCTCCGCCGGGGCGGCGCCCGCGCCCCTCGCGGGAGGCCTGGAGCCGAGGCAGCTGCCGCTGGGCGCGGGGCAGTTCCGCCCGAGCCAGGAGCCCTTGCGCTCGCGGCTGCTGGAGGGCCTCGGCCGGGCCGTCGCTCGAAGAAGAAACAGCGCCATACACACAAATGTTTGGCGCTCCGCGCGGGTTTCTTGGATCTGCGCTGGGCCCCCCGGCGGGGCCGCGCTCCACGGAGGGGGTCCAGCGCAGATCCAAGAGATCCGCGCGGAGCGCCAACGGTTTAGGTTTATGTCCTTTTTTCTTCTCCCAGTCGCGGGCACAGAGATCAGGGAGATGGAGGGCTTCCGCGGCGGGCAGAACTCGGGCGTCTGGATCGTGAGCGGGCCCGCGGACGTGGACGAGCTCGTGCTCAAGTTGGTGAGGTGCACCAGCTCGCATCCGGGCCTCCCCACGGAGGCGGAGAACTGCGCGAGGCTGCTCGCGAGGCACCCGGCCATGGCGCGGGACGGCCAGCTAGCGCTGCCCACGCACGTGTTTTCCTGCCTGGGGCCGTCTGGTGAGAAGCTCCACGACCTGCTGGTGATGCGCAAGGCGCGGGGAGACCCCCTGGCCACGGTAATAGCGAGGAGGTGGCACGGCGGCGAGGCCCAGGAGCTGATGCGGGTCATGACGCGCCTGGGCCGCTTCCTCTCGCGGCTGCACCGCCGCTACGAGGGCTTGCAGCATGGCGACTTTCAGCCCTCCAACGTTCTCCTGCACGAGGAGACCGGGGAGTTCACCCTGGTCGACGTGGGCGGGATGGGCATCACGACAGTGAAGACCGACGTGGAGCATTTCGAGGGCGCCATGAGGACATTGGCGGCAGCCTACAAGGCCCCGCAGTTGGCCGACGACACTGTCCGCCACTTCCTCGAGGGGTACGCAGAGGAAGCGGCCGCTCAGGCGGCCGGCACCCCGCTGGCGGAGCCTGCGGGGCCGGAGGAGGAGGCCGCCGCCGCCGCCACCGCCGCGGCAGGCCCAGGCGCTCGCCCAGAGGCCGCCTTCGACGCGACGATGCGGCCTGGTGGGGCGCCGCCGCTCGAGGACGCGGCGGCGCTCGAGGATGGCCGCCTGGGAGGGGACGCGTGGCGACAGCGGCTCCAGTCGGACGTGGAAGTAATCCAGCGCATCTACGGCGCCATCTCGCGGCGCGGCTTGTCGCCGCACGAGCTCTTCGAGCGCCTGGACCTGGACGCGGACGGCGTCCTGGGCTGGCAGGACGTGGGCCAGCTGCTCCGGTCGTTCTCGCCCGAGAGGTCCGAGCAGGAGCTCCGGGGCCTGTTCTGCACCATTGGCGGCGACGAGCGCGGCGCGGTCACCCTGCCCGCTTTCTGCCTCGCCTTCCGCGCGGCAGGGGAGGTGCTGGCCCACGGCCTGCTGCGGCGCCTCCGCGCGGCCCTCTCGCGGCGGGGCGAGTCCCCACAGGGCCTGTTCTTCAGGCTGGACGCCGACGGTGACAGCCTGCTGCGGCCCGAGGACCTGGAGGGGCTGATCGCGGTCCTCCTCCTCCTACTCCTACTCCTCCTCCTCCTCCTCCTCCTCGTCTTCCTCCTCTTCCTCGTCCTCCTCCTCCTCCTCTTCCTCCTCCTCCTCTTATGAATAACATCTCCCTGTCGCACTGATTGAGCGCCGCGCACGTTCGTTTGAAATGTGCAGGAGCTTCACGGATTGAGGGCGGGTCGTTTTCAAAGTGTAGCTCCCGCTTCAGCGCTGCGCACATTCTTTTTAGGATGTGCAAGAGTTTCACGGATTGAGGGCTGGTGGTTTTCAGAATGTGGCTCTCGCTTGAGCGCCGCACATTCGTTTTGAACACTTGCAAGAGTTCCACGGATTGAGAGCGGGTGGTTTTCAAAATGTGACTCGCCGTAGCGCCGCGCACATTGGTTTTCAACATTTGCAAGAGTTTGACGGATTGAGGGTTGGTGGTTTTTAAAATGTGGCTCTCGCTTGAGCGCCGCGCACATTCGTTTAACATTTGCAAAAGTTTCACGGATTGAGGGCGGGTGGGTCTCAAATGTGACTCTCGCCGTATTGCTGCGCACATTGGCTTTCAACATTCGCAAGAGTTTCACGGATTGAGGTTGGTGGTTTTCAAAACTCTCGCCTTAGCGCCGCGCACATTCGTTTTACCACTTGTAAGAGTTTCACGGATTGAGGGCGGTGGTTTTCAACATGTGTTTCTCGCCGTATCGCCGCGCACATTTTGCAAGAGTTTCACGGATTGAGGGTTGGTGGTTTGCCACGCGCATTCTTTTTAAACATTTGTAAGAGTTTCACGGATTGAGGGCGGGTCGTTTTCAATATGTGGCTCTCGCCTTAGTGCCGCGCGCATTCGTTTTAAAACAATTGCAAGAGCTTCACATATTGAGGGCGGGTGGTTTTCAAAATGTGGCTTTCGCCATAGCGCCGCGCGCACATTCGTTTTAAACAATTGCAAGAGTTTCACGGGTTCCCATGGTCAACGTACCAGAAATGGTGTTTGGGAAAGATTCAGGATTATGAGGGTGCAACAGTTACGTTGCTTCGCGGTGTTGAAGTCTCAAGCACGGCGTTATGGCATGATTCAGGATCGCCCAGCGCAACAATCAGGTAGATCCGTGGCGTTGGAGTCCCGAAAATCATGTTTTGCCATGCGTCAGGGTCTTCAAACGGTTGTTTTCCAACGAGGCAGTTCCCATAGTGGAAGTGAACCTTTGCAGGGGCCTGTGGAGAGGGAGCTTGCAGGGAGGGTTTATGCCAACATCGTGGATGACTCTTGGCTCTACACTCCTCCTCCTCCTCGTCCTCCTGAGGACCTGGAGGGGCTGATCGCGGAGTTCGCGCCTGGCGGCCCCACGGCGGAGCTCGCCCGCGCGCTTGGCGCCGATGAGGATGGCTGCGTGGCGCTGCCCGCCTTCTGCGGGGCACTGACCGCCGTGTGCGGCCCGCCCGGGTCCGAGCGGGAGTGCGCGCTCGCGGCCGGCTCCGCCCCGCCGGGCGCGGAGGCCGAGGCCGCCGCTGCGCCTCGCGCGGTGCCGCGGCAGCGGCAGCGGCGCCCGCGCGGGCGCGGCTCGGAGATCGCGCGCTGCTTGGAGGCGAACCGCCGCCTGCCTGGGCGCCATGCAGTGGTCAGCGCTGAGGACCGCGCCGGGTGGCACCCGCATGCGCCCTGGGCTGGCGGCGAGGCGGCCGCCGCGCGCCGGGAGGCCCGCCGATCCCCGGCGGCCGCCCAGGCGGCGCCCCGGCTGGCGCGCGACTCCGAGGAGCGGCTGCGGCAGTTCGTGGAGCGCCACGGTCCGACGGGGCGCCCGCCGTGCCCCGGCGAAGCGGGCGCCGCGGCGGCGTTCCGCTGGCGGCCCGCCGTTCCTGGCCGCGCCGCGCTGGAGCCGGCTGGGAGGGTGCGGGAGCGGCGCGAGGTGGCGAGGCCAGCCGCCACCGGGCGCCGGCAGCCGGGCGCGCGCGCGGGCGCGCGGCAGGCGGCGAAGGACCCGGAGGCCCTGGAGAAGCTCAGGCAGTTCGTGCTGCGGCACGGCGCCAGCCGCGACAGGCAGCGCCAGGGGCCTGGCTTCGAGCACCTGGACGCGGCGGGCGGGGCCCCTGCGCCAGTCCAGGGCAGCGGCGGCGCGAGCCCCGCCGCTGGCAGCGTCTACGGCGGCAGCTTCGGGCCGGGGCGCCGCCGGCGGTCGGGCAGCAGCCGCAGCAGCTCCAGCAGCAGCTCTGGCAGCGGCAGCAGCCGCAAGTACGACTCCGAGAGTTTTGCCTCCCACGCCAGCGGCGCAGAGGAAGGCCGCATCGCTGGATCCAGCAAGGGTGCCGGCGCAGCGGTGGCAGCCAAAGCCGCAGAGGAGTCGTACAGCGACGACGACTTCGAAGGGTCGGACGACGCTGGGAATTCTGACTGAGCGCGCTTTTCCAGACCCGATAGCGCGTCACGTGCATGGCCCCAGGCCGATGGTGCCACCAACGCCCCAGCAGAGCCAGACGGGAAAAACAACAATGATTCTCTTTTGTGTCGTTCCTCCAGCCTGGGGGGGAGGGGGGCGTGGAAGCATTGTTTCTTGCGCGCCAACAGTGATTCTCTTTCGTGTTGTTCCTCCAGCCTGGGGGGGAGCGGGGCGTGGAAGCATTGTTTCTTGCGCGCCTGCATCATCCACTCTCGCAACATCTCCCTCGTTTCGCCGTCATGGGCATTATGTCATGTGTCGTCGCCTCCACTTAGCATGATGGGCTGTCGTTGCCTGGCAGGCGATTTGGATGCCTCGTTTTCGCGAGCTTCAACTTGTCAAACCCAGAGCCCGACTTGATGCTCTTTGTGCAGAAGGTCTGCGTGATCTTCCTCTTTTTCCAGTGTGTGGTGAGTGGTTTACGGCCCTTTCAGCACATACTTTGTACCTCATCTCAGTTCTTTTCTGGCGACGCCCGCCTAAAATCTGTTTCCGTCGATCGAAATCTCTGCCTCATTCTCCGACAGCCTCTGCCGTCTCCAGATGGGGCAGAGGTCTGAGCAAGCGATCAGGCTCGCCCCACGACAGACAAGAAGCATAATTAATGCTCTCGGACGATGTTTCGGATATTGGGATGCGGAAAAGGACGAGTAGGAGGAGGTGGAGGAGGAGGCCGGTGAGGAGGAGGACAGGAAGGCCAAGGGATGAGGATGAGTGGACTACTGATGATGCTGCTGCTGATGATGATGCTGCTGAGGACGAGGACGAGGACGAGGACGAGGAGGACGATGATGACGATGATGATGCTGCCACTGATGATGATGATGATGATGATAATGATGAGATGATGATGATGCTGATGATGATGATGATGATGATGATCATGATGATGATGATGTTGATGATGGCATCGACGGTGACGATGACGACCACGATGCTGATGATGACAATGATTATGATGAGTATGATGATTCTGATGCTGCTGCTGATGATGATGATGATGATGAGCATGATACTGATGATGCTGCTGATGCTAATGATGCTGCTGAAGCTGAGGCTGCTGCTGCTGATGGTGATGACGACGACGATGATGCTGCTGCTGCTGCTGATGATGATGATGATGATGCTGATGATGATGATGATGCTGCTGATGATGATAATGATGATGATGATCAGGAGGTGGGGAGGAGGATGAGGAGGAGGAGAAGGAGGAGGAGGAAAAGGAGGAGGAGGAGGAGGAGGAAAAGGAGGAGGATGAGGGACAGGAGGAGAAGGAAGAGGAGATGCAGGAGAGGCTCACAAGAGGAGGGCTCAACAGGAAGCGGGGGGCAGCCGCGCGGAAGGGCGTGTGCTGAGCCAGGTGGGTGGCAGGAAGGACTCCCCCCTCCCCCTCCCCTCACACTCCTTCACTCTCCTCCTGCCTCCTTTTTTGCTCATCTTCTTCCTTCCTCTCTTTCTCCTTCCTTCCCCTCCCCCTTGTCTGCCTCCTCATCCTCTTCCTCGTCACGTTTCTCCTCCTTCTCCGCCTTCTCCTTTCCCTCCTGAGCCTTCTTCCTCTCCTCGTCCTCCCAGCCATCTTTCATCCCGGCTAGACTCTAGATTCTGGTTTGATGGGCTAGGTCTTGGTGGAAATCCTTCCTCTCCGGCCGAGATAGATAATTCACCAGTCTGTTCGCTGTCTTCCAAGTAGGGAAGAGTTTCCGATACCCGCAACAAGAAGAGATGTTACACCTCTTCTCATTCGCGGGGTTCAGCGCCCGAGGGGTCGTGAGGGCGTCCTACGGATTCCTGCAGGAACCTCCAGGATTCCTACACGGATTCCTGGGAGAATTCCCTCATGTATTTCGCAGGGAATCTGACGGACTTTGACCTATATAAGGACTCCTATAATGATTCCTCCTGAGGATTCTGGTATCCCCTGGCCCCTGGGACCTCAGCGGGCCGACACCTTTCTGGTGGGTGAGCTTAAATGGTGCTCGATGGCGTGCGCCCTGTGATACCCCATAGTGCCCCGCAACGGGCGCCGTTTGATGTCTTAGGTGGAGATCCCTGTGTGCCACGATCCGTGTGAGAGGTTTGCCGAAGTAGGTGGGGGGGTGGGATGCGAACCTTCTCTGTGGCCGTCCGTGAAATTTTGCGGGCCACGATCCGTGTGAGAGGTGTGCCGAAGTGATTTGGGCGACGCTATGTAACTTCCCTCTGGTGCCACAAGTGCACTTGCGGGGCACGACCCGCCTGAGGGCGTTCCATTCTGCGGGCCTTGTCTCTAGGGACGGAGGCGGAGTTCCTTATGGGGCGCGATCCTTGTGAGGGGTGTGCCAGCACGGGCGGGGGGACGCCAAGCCAAGCCTGTCTCTGGGGTCGCAGGTGAGGCTCCCTGAGGGGCACGATCCGTGTGACAATCTGTGTCCTCCGATGTCGAACATTTTAGACTACAACTAGAGCGTAGAAACCAAGCGCTCGAAGCGCGCGCGTGGTTCTCGTGTGTGCGTATGTATGTATGTATGCATGCATGCATGTATGTATGTATGTATGTATGTATGTATGTACGTATGTATGTATGTTTGTATGTATGTATGCATGTTTGTATGTATGTATGTCTGTCATGTATGTATGTATGTATGTATGCATGTATGCATGTATGCATATATACATGTACGCATGTATGCATGTATGCATGTATGCATGTATGTATGTATGTATGCATGCATGTATACATGTATATAGGCATGTATGTATGCATATAGGTATGTATGTATGTATGTATGTATGTATGTATGTATGCATGTATGCATGCATGCATGTATGTATGTATGTATGCATGTATGTCTGTATGTACGTACGTACGTACGTATGTATGTATGTATGTATGTATGTATGTATGTATGTATGTATGTATGTATGTATGTATGTATGTATGTATATATATATGTATGTATATATCGTATGTATATATGTGTTGTGTGTGTGTGTGTGTGCGTGCGTGCGTGCGTGCGTGCGTGCGTGTGTGTGTGTGTGTGTGTGTGTGTTTGTGTGTGTATGTGTATGCGTGTGTCCGTAGCCTTTGGCTCAAGCCCTTTGGCTCAAGCTCGAGCACGCCCCTGGCTCAGGGGCGGTTGTCCGGCCCCGGCATGATGGAGACCACCGCGGCGCGGCGACGGCGACATGCCCGTGCCGCTGCAGGTCGCCGCTTGGCTGCCGCCGCGGCCGGCGCACTGGTCCACGCGGGCCCGTCGGGGCTCTTTGGCGCCGCTGGCGCGGCTGGTGCTGCTGGCGCGGCGGGCGCGGCCGCTCTCGGTGGCGCGCCTGCTGCTGCGAGCGCTTCCGGCCCTGCTGGCGCCGCCGCCTCGACTCTCGCTGCTGACGCCCCCTGGGCGGTCAGCGCGGGCTGGGCTGCTCGCCCTCCCACCCCCGCGGGCGCCCCAGGCGCTGCTGACGCCCCCTGGCATGTCGGCGTTGCCCGCGTGCGACGTCCTGCTGGCGCCGCTGGCGCCGTCGGCACGGTCGAAGCTGCCGACGCTGCTCCTGGCGTCCTGGCGTCTTCGCGATCGACGTCGCTGGCGCGGCCAGCGCGCCGGGGCTCCTTGGCGCCGCTGGCGCGGCTGGTGCTTCTGGCGCGACGGGCGCGGTCGCTCTCGGTGTCGCGCCTGCTGCGGCGAGCGCTTTCGACGCTGCTGGCGCCGCCGTTTCGGCTCCTGCTGCTGACGCCCCCCGGGCAGTCGGCGTGGGCTGGGCTCCTCGTCTTCTCGCCTCTGTGGGTGCCCTGGGCGCTGCCGACGCCCGCTGGCATGTCGGCGCGGCCCGCGTGTGCCGCCCCGCGGCTGGCGCCGCTGGCGCCGCCAGCGCGGTCGAAGCTGCCGACGCTGCCTCTGGCGTCGGCGCGTTCGATCCAGCTGCCGCGCGCGGCGCGGCCGCCGCGATCGCCGCCTGCGCCTGCGCCGCGGCCGCCGCCGCGGGGGCTCGGGCCGCCCTCGGGGCCGCCGTTGGAGGGCGGGCGCTGGCCGCCGTGCTCGCGGCGGACGCCGCGGCGGGCAGTTGGCCATCGGGCGCCGCCATGAAGGGTCCCACCATCATCTACTCCAGCACCCCGATCAGCGTTTGCGGGAAGGGCGGGCAGGGGGAGGGGCGGCCGGCGCTGCCTTTGCTCAGTAAAAATGCTGTGCGTGAAGCTGGAGCCCGTCCTCATCTGCTCAGCGCCCCGATCAGCGCGCGCGGGGCGAATGTGCGCAGCGAGATTGTGGGCGTGATGCTGGGGCCCACCGTCATCTGCTTCAGCGTCCCGCGTACGAGAAGGGGCAGTGGCGGTTGGACCTGTCAGTGGCGGCGCGGTCAAGGAGGGCGCGGATGTGCAGGGAGACGTCGACGACGAGGTGGAGGAGGTCGTGGAGGTGGGTGTTGGATGGGTCGACGATGGAGGTGGAGAGGGTCGCCGCGGAGTTCCGGGGGCAGGTGGAAGAGGTCAGGAATGCTTTCGACGACGCGCGCAGTGAGGATGGCGAGGGGGGCGACGAGAATGCGGCCATGGAGGAGGAGGAAGGGGGCGTCGAGATGAACGAGGCCGTCGACGTGGTCGCGGAGGTCCAGTCCGCGGGCTGCGCCGCCCATCCTGTCGGTGCAACTCCGCCAATCTTGTCGACCCCGCGCCGCTCATTCTTCCGATCCTGTGTGAGCCATGCCCGCCAGTCTCTGGGCGATGCGGGGTGCAGGGGGGCCCTTGGGGGGGCGGGCGGCAGGCCCTGGGCCCGCTGGTGCCTCCTCTCAATGGAACCATGCAGCCGGGTGCAGCCATGGAACCACGCGGCGACAGCAGGGGCCAAGAACAGAACTTCAGCGGTCAACGACGGAGCAGCTAAACTGGCGACGAGGCCCCGCGCCGAGGGAGGCCCGTCCCTGGCGGCGTCGGGAGCTTGCACCTCCGTTGCTCACGTGGAGGTTTCGCTTAATCACAAGCGGGAAATGGCGAGACGGATGGCGCGCAGAGATCTGGGAGAGATGAGGCAGAAGGACATCTCGTTCCGCGTCATTCCGACTAATCGCCGTCTGACGACAGCATCCCAGACCCAGAGGGACGGGGCGAGCGTGCCAGGCGCCGCCTTGTTGCTTGTGGCCGTTTTGCGCCGCCGCGGCCTTCGTCGCCCGATTGCGACAGTCTGGGCCCGGTTGAGCACTGCGGTCTCCACCGATCATGACCCACGCGCCCGCTGTGGAGGCGCCGTCTTGGGACAGACCTCGATTCTCCTGGCTAGCGCATGGTAACCTGTGGCTCCTGGTCAAGGAGGCGTGGGCTAACTCCCCGTGGGCTCGTGAACACTGGGATCGCTTCGCCTGCGACAAGAAAAAAAGGAAGGGGCGAGCTCGCGCGTGTGTGTGTGTGTGTGTGTGTGTGTGTGTGTGTGTGTGTATATGTGTGCGTGTGCGTGTGCGTGTGCGTGTGCGCGTGCGTGTGCGTGTGCGTGTGTGTTTGCGTGCAGGAGGAGGGCGCTTGGCGGCCGCTTCCTGCCGCCCTCCGAGCGGCATCGCGCCCCTGGGGCGCAGCGGGGCTCCCCAGGAGGCCACTCGCATCCTGGGCGAGCTGTTGGGGGCAGAGGCCCCCGCTGCGCCTGCAGGACCTCCCTCCGCCGCGCCACCGAGGGCGACGGTCGCGCGGTCACCCTGCCCCTCTTGCTTCTCCTGCCTGTCTCCTGCTCCCTTCTGCTGCTCCTCTTGCTCCCGTTTCTCCTCTCCTGCCCTCCGCCCTCGTCGTTCTTGGTCCTGGTCCTGGTCCTTCGCCTCTCTCTCGCCCTCCTCCTGTCTCTCGCCTGCTGCTACTGCTGCTGCTGCCGCTGCTGCTGCTGCTCCTCTTCTTGCGGTGGCCTGGCCTGCGCTCTTCATGGGTTCGTGTGTGCCCCTGTGTGTTTCCCCGAACAGTGCTTGCACTTAGGGGTTATGATTCGTTTTCTAAGGAACTGGGCCGCGCCAGTCTGGCAGATATGTAGTCGCCGTCGCCGCCTCGTCGCCGCCCGTCGTCTGGGCCTGTCTGTCGGTCCGGCGGCTATGTTGTCGCCGTCGCCGCCCCGTTGCCGCCTCGTCGCTGCCCGTCGTCTGGGCCAAATTGCCGGTCTGGCGGCTAGACAATTGCTGCACGTAAGAACACATGCGCGCGTCGTCGCGCGCGCATGCCGAAATCCTTCAACAACCTTCGGCTTCGTAGGGATCTCAAAACCGAGTGCCCTGAAAACATTACAGCATGGTTTCGCAACAAGAGTTTTCAAAAACACTTGCTCTCGCGCTGTTGCAGATTCTTAAGACAGCCATCGGTTCCTCAACATTTTCATCACATGCTGCCAAACATGCCTCTCGCGCGCGCATGTCGAAATCGCTCGAACGCCCTTGCTCGCGTGCTGTCGCAATAATCCCTTGCAGAACAGTGGGCCGAAGTGCACACGCGCGCGTCGTCGCGCGCGCATGCGGACATCCTTCAACAGCCTTGTGTCGTAGCAATTTCAAAATCGTGTGTCCCGAGAAAACATGTAATAGCATGTGTTTTCAAACTTTCCGGCGCTGCAAATTCTTAAGGAAACCATGGGTTCTTCAATATTTTTCCCCAAAGTTAGGCTTGCCTCAGGAGTTTTTGTTGGTTAAAGGTTGGTACCTCGGGTGGCTACTTTGCGCGTTCCTCGGAGGTTCTCCGGGTTCTCGGGTTCCCCAGGTTCCTCGGGTTTCTCGGGTTCCCCGCTTGGGAATGCCAAGCGTTACCAAGCAATGCCAAGCAATGCCAAACAATGTGCCCAGCGATGCGCCCATGCAATAGGCTCTACCCAAACTGGGGTCGCGCCGGGTTCATCATGAAATTCGGTCAAACGGGCCTCGCGCACCGCATGCCGAAATCATTCGATTGCCCTTGCGCGCGTGCTGAGGGGGGGGCACGATCTGTGTCAAATAACACCATGCGGCCCACTCTCGCTCGTCGGCCGCGCGCGCATGTCGAACCCCTTCCAAAAACTTCATCACCGACGCGAGAACGCCGTTATCGTCGTCTGCGTGATTTGCATCGTCGCCGTCACTGGCCTTGCCGTCGTCGTTGTCATCGTCGTCACCAGCATCGCTACTACTATCATCGTGTCTACCGTTGTCGACGTTGCCATGATACCGCGCCCGCCCGAGTCGCCGAGCCTCACTGGAGTGCCCGCTGGGAAGTGCCCTGCGGTAGGCGTCACCGCGGCAGCGTCGGTCGTGCCAAACTAGCTGGCCGCTTCGTGCGCGAGCATGCGCGGGCTAGTGCGGCCGCTGACAGGCACCAACCAACGCCAAGCAGTCGCCGCAATCGCCGCCGCGTGGGTTTGCAAGCCAAGACGCGGGGGTGCGGGTGGGATGGTTGCGCGAGCAGTTGAGTTGACAACTCACTGCGGACAAACATTATTTGTACATTGTAGAAATGCACACCGGATACAGCTCCACATAGATTGCACAACATAGTTTGCACCGTATCTATTGCACAACATATCGAAGACGCCTACGGCGAATCACCGCCGCCCCCTGCCTTTTTGGAAGCGCCTATGTGGCCGAACGTTGAGGCCAGACCTGCCAAGCTATCGGACCACGTGTTCCCCGAATCGGTTTGGAAAGCCTTCGGGGAACACGTGGGCATCTTGAAGGTCATCTTGGCCGTCTTGGAGGCCTCTTGGGCAAGCTTTGGGCGATCTTTGGGGCTTTTTGGGCCGTCTCGGGCCAGCTTCGAGCCAACTTCGGCCATCTTGGTGGGTTCCTGGCACGTCTGAAGCCGTCGGAAGCCGTTTGGGGGGCCTCTATGGGCCGACTTGGGGCCCGCTTGTTCGGCTCCAGGGCCGTCTTGGAGGCCATCTTGGGCGTCTTGGAGGCCATCTTGGGCGTGTTGGAGGCCTCTTGGGCCCTCTTGGGGCCCTCTAGGGGCCATCTTGGAGGCCACTTGGGCCATCATGGGGCTCTCTTGGGGGCCTCTTGGGCGATCTTGGGGGCTTCTTGGGCCGTCTTGAGCCGTCGGAGAGCCGAAAAGGCGCAAATGCCAAAATCCTTCAAAAACCAAGGGAAAATCAATGATTTTGGCCTCTTCGGACTCTCCTGGAGGACCTCTTGGAGGCCTCTTGGGCCGTCTGGGAGGCCTCTGGGGGGCCTCTTGGGCCGTCTTGGGCCGTCTTGGACTCTCTTGGGCCGTTTTGGAGGCCGTCTTGGACCATCTCGGGCGGACTTGGAGGCCATCTTGGGCCATCTTCGCGATTTTTTGAGGATGTCCCGAGCGAAACGGCCGTTTTTGGGCATTGCCAGACGGATTTTCGGAAATTTGCGCGTGGCCGGCGGGACGGGCCGAAGCCCACTGGGGAGTTCTTTTAGAAAAAGAACCACAACCAAAACCTGAAACGTCCAGCACGCCGTGCACCCCTGCAAGCAGGGGGCGGCGGATTTGTGGCCGTCGGCCAATCCCGCCACCGCGCCTGGGTTGTAGGCCATGGGCCTTTGTGATGCCCATGAGGATCTCTTGGGGGGCCTCTCGGAGGTTCCTTGGATTCGGTTTGGGGTGTTTTGGGGGCCTCTCTGGGGTCTCTTGGGGGCCTCTTGGGGCCTGATTTCTGCCTTTTTGGGGGCCTCGTGGATCTTGTGGAAGGCCTCTTGGGGGCCTGCTGGCGGTCTCGGGGGCCATCTTGGGGGCGAGGGGCTTGAGGTATCGGTTCGCGTTCTTGTCACTGGTGCCTCTCTTGGGCCACATTTGGGACCCTATTGGGCCGTCTTGGGGGCCTTTTGGGGCGTCTTTCTTGGGCCGCCTTCGATCTTGGGGGGCTCTTGGCCGGTGTTGGGGTATCGAAAACGCGAAAATGCGAGAGCACTGACATCTTTCAACAACAAAAGAAACACAAGGATTTTGGCATTTCGGGGCCCTCCTGGGGGTGGCTCGTGGGGCCCTCTTGGGCCTTCTTGGTGCGGCTTGGGGGCCTCTTGGGCCGTCCTTGGCGCTCTTCTGAACATTTCGGAACGCCTTTGGCTGCTCCCGTGTTCTCCTGGATCATCGGAAGGCGCTTCTTGGGAAACTCTCGGGGGGTCGGGGGGGACCCGCTGGGCCGTCGTGGGGGCCTCTTGGGCTGCCTTGGCGCGCTTTTGGGCCGCCTTTGGGGTCCTCTTGGGGGCGTCTTGGACCGTCTTGGCGCCCTCTTGGGCCGTCTTTGGGCCCACTTGGGGGCTTTTTGGGCCGTCTTGGGCCGATCTTGGCGGCCTCTTGGGCCGTGTTGGAGCGATGTTCGCCCGTCAAGCCGAGAACTCTCGGAGGGTCGGGAGGAGTCTGTTGGGCCGTCTTGGGGGCTTCTTGGGCCGTGTTGCTTGGCGCCCTCTTGGGCCGTCTTGGCGCCCTCTTTGGCCTGTCTTGGGGCCCTCTCGGGGGTCCCTTGAGCCGTCTTGGGGCCCTCTTGGAGGATTCTCGGGCCGTGGTGGCGCGCTGGAAGCCCGGAAAGGCGAGAACGTCAAAATCTGGCAACAACCGAGCAAATTAATGATTTCGGCTTCTTGGGGCCTTCTTGGCGATCTTGTTGGAGCCTCCTTGGGGCGTTTTGGGGGCATTTTGGCCGTCGTGAAGCCATCGTGACATCCTGGAGAGCTCAGGGGCCGATCTGGGGCCTTCTTGGACCATCGGAGATGCTTCTGGAGACATTCTCGGGGGTTCGGTGGGCCACCTTTGGCCAGTTCAGTTTCCAGAGGACTCACGCGACACACGCAACGAGCACGCGGAAATCCTCGGCAGCGCCCAGGCAACAGGGGTTCGGGGCGTTTCATAACCTAGAGCCAGTTGCTCGTAGAATTGTAGGGACCTGGGGACACTCCACGACGTACTGAGAGCACGGTGGCGCTACATATATTCTCCTTTTTGCAATGCAATTTGCACTTCCCCCCCCCGGAGAATCGGTTCCCCGAGGGATAGTGGTTCTGCCCCATCGTTCATCAGTTTTGAATCCGTACTACCATCCCAGCAAAACCGATATCCCCCCTCATCTTTTCCAAACTATGCGATGTGCGCGCACTCGTTTATCACAGCTCACCAGTTCTCAAGGAACTCTGGCCACCAATAGGACGACGTCCGCGCGCGCGTCGTCGCGCGCGCATTCCGACATCTTTCAAGCACCTTGGGTTTCGTGCGGGTCGCAGAAGCGAGTGCTTCGGAAACATATAACTCACTATCGGTTTTGCAGCATGAGTTTCAAAACAAGTCTGCGCGCGCGCTCTTGCGAATTCTGAGAAAAAACAATCGGGTTTCCAACATTTCCATCCAATGCGACCAAGCGGGCCTCTCGCGCGCGCTTGTCGGAATCATTTGAACGCTCTTGCGAGCGTGCTGGGGGGGGGGGCACTATCCCTGTCAAATAGTACCATGCGGCGTCGGCAGCGCGCGCATGTCGAAATCCTTCTAAAAGCTTCATCACCGGCGCGAGGATACTATCATCGCCATCGGCGTGATCAGCATGGGCAGCATCATTGGCCTTGCCGTCGTCATTGTCGGCATCATCGTCACCAACATCGCTACTATCTATCATCGCCGTGTCTGCCGTTATTGACGTCGCCACGACATGGCGCCCGCCCGAGTCACCGACTCGCAGTAAAGTGCCCACACGTCAGCGCGGCCTGCGAGACGCGCTGTGAAGTGCCCAGCAGTCAGCGCCACCGCGGCCGCGTCGGTCGCACCAGACTAGCGCACCGCTCTGCGCGCAAACCTGCGCGAGCTAGCGCGGCCAGCAGTGGTTTTTTGCAAGCCGCGTTGTGGGTGGGTGGGCAGGAGGCTTGCATGAACATGGGAAGTGGTCACGCGTTGTGCAGGGCATCATATGCAACCCACATGCTGCTCCACATATGTTTCACAATATAGAGTGTACCACATAGAACCACATCGGTTGCACCACATCGGTTGTTCCATATCAATTGCACAACGTCCATTGTACCAAAAAGACTGTACAGCATACGTTGCACCACAGCTGTCATGCAACACATAGTGCACCACATTAATTGCACAACGCTGTTTGCACAACCTAGATTACATCTCGTAATGTGCCACTTGTAGTACGCAACATTGCCTGCACTGTATGGGTTGCACCACATATATTGCACAGCTTGGATTGCACAACATAGTTTGCACCACATATTTCGCGCAACATATGTTCCATCATACAGACTGCATTGCACGTACTGCACACTACATATGTGTATATATATATATATATATATGTATGTGTACATGTGGCACAACACATATTGTTAGATGCACATTATTTGGAGTCCACGCTTGCTAATCTTGAGGAGGGAAGAAGGGATAGGAGGGAACCGAGGATGAAGAGAAGGAGGGGGAGGAGGGGGAGGAGGCCAAGCGAAGTGAGTCGGAACATCTCCCGATCCATGTGCTGTCTGCGCTCTCGTCCTGCGCGCCCCCCTCAGGATCCAGCGCTGGATGAGCCTCCCTGGAGAGATGGAGGAGGCCGAGGCTCCGGACGGAAATAAGCGCGCTGCTTTCCTGATCAGGGCCCTGGGCACTGACAAGCTAGGACATCGGATCGCCGTCGGGGAGTATGGTGGTGGTGTTGGGGGGGAGGATCGCCGTCGGGGGCCGACCCCATCTCTACTGGCGGTCTTCTCCCAGGGATCCGACGTTGTCACCGTCTGCGACAAGTGGTTGCTTGGTAGTTCACTGGCACTCCCCGCTTCCCTGGACGCTCCTCCGCGTCTCGCCCTCGCCCCTCCTCTCGTCCTTCTGCTGCCTCTCCTCCCTCTCCCGCGTTCCCTGTGCCCCGCTCTCCCTTCTTCCCCTGCTCTACCCTTCCCCTCTCTCTTCTCTCCTCCTCCCTCCCTCTCTCTCTCTCTCGCTCTATTCCTCTCTGTCCCTCTCTCTGTCTCTCCCCCCCGCTCCATCTCTCTGTGCCTCCCTGCTGGCGTCAGCTGCCCCCGCGCCCAGCGCGGACGAGCAGGGGCGCGTGTCCCTGCCCCTCTCCCTCGCCAGCACCGCCCCTCTCCGTGCGCTGCCGTCCGTGCCGCCCTGTCCCGCCCAGAGACCCCGCCGCTGTGCTGCCCACTCCCTGGCTGCAGGTCCCGGGGCCCGAGGCGAGTGGGAGGGAAGGGGGAGAGGTCATGGACGGACGGGAGAGCGAGGGGGGAAAAAGGGAGGGAAAGGGAGAGGGGAGGCAAGAGGGCGGGACGGGAGAGCGACGGTGGGGCGGGGGAGCAGGCCCTCATCATCCTTATCCTCCCTGTGAACCGGGGTGGACAGGCGGGGGACCAGGAGGAGGAGGAGGAGGAGGAGGAGAAGGAGGAGGAGGAGGAGGAGGAGGAGGAGGAGGAGGAGGAGGAGGAGGAGGAGGAGGAGGAGGAGGAGGAGGAGGAGGGGGGGGACAGAAGGCGGGGGGCTCGCACCTCGCCCGCCGCAGACCCGCCGGGTCACCCCGCCGGACCAGCGGCCCCGCCCGTGGGTGGGCGGGGGGGGGGGGGCGCAATGCAGCTGGCTGGTCTGCGGGCGGCCCTGGCCCTGGCGGCCCTCCTGTCCTGTGGCCGGCGCCGCCCTCCGCCCCCGGGACGGCCGCGCGTCACGCCCCGAGTGCCGCGTGCGCCAGCCTCCCCCCCGCCCTCCTTCCGCCCTCCTTCCTACGTTCTCCTCCGTCCTCCGTCCTCCCTCCCTCCCTCCCTCCCTGCTGCCCTCCCTGTTGCCCTCTCCCTCCTCCGTATTCCCTCCGTCCCCCCTGAAGAGAAGAAGAACACTGTGACGGATGCCTCACCAGACAGACCTGCGGTCTCACCTGTTGTTTTTCCCAACCATCCTGTGGTGCTGGGTCCTCGTTTTGAAGAGGCAGCGCCCCGCGTTCTCCTCCTCTCCTCTCCTCCTCCCTCCTCCAATCCCTTCCTCTGCTTTTCGCATGTCACCATCATCGTCATCATCATCACCGTCATCATCGTCATCATCATCATCATCACCACCATCCTCCTCCTCGTCGTCGTCATCACCACCATCACCATCAGCATCATCATCATCGTCATCATCATCATCATCATCATCATCAGCAGCATCACCATCATCATCATCAGCATCATCATCATCATTATCATCATTATCATCCTCCTCCTCCTCCTCCTCCTCCTCCTCCTCATCATCATCATCATCATCATCATCATCGTCATCGTCACCCCCGTTTCGGCACACCCCTCACACGATTAGCGGCCCCATGGGGAGCTCCAGCTAAGGCCCCAGCGGCACCGTCCGCATGTGGGCGTCGCTTCCGTTTCGGCACACCCCTCACACGTTGTGTGGCTCCATAGGGAGCTACAGCTAATGCCCCAGTGGCACCGTCCGCATGTGGGCGTCAACCCCGTTTCGGCACACCGCTCACACCTTTCGTGGCTCCATAGGGAGCTCCAGCTAAGGCCCCAGCGGCACCGTCCGCATGTGTGCGTCACCCCCGTTTCGGCACACCTGGCCCCTATAGGAAGCCCCAGCTACGGTCCCAGTGACACAGCCCGCATGCGGGCGGTGCCTCACAAGGAGTTTCACCTAAGACCGTACTCACAATTGCGATACCCACAACTGCATATGGTTGGGTTCTTCGCCAGGTTCTTTCCACTTATTCCCCTTGGACGAAATACTGTTTACTCTTGGCCCAGACCTATGGCCATGTGCGGGTCACCCCTTCCCCTTGAGCGACGTCCTAACCCCTTGAGCGACGTCCTAAACCGTACTCGGCGGCCGCGGTCATCGACCACACGGATTGCGTATTGCTGCTTGGTTGTCGGACTTGCCATGAGATTAGCATATTTTCCCCAAGCCTCCAGTGGAGTTTGGTCTTCGTTTTGAATCCACAGCGCCCCGTCCCATTTTCTCCTTTCCATTCCCCCACCCTTGACTCTCCGCGTGTCAATTTCGGTGCTCCTGAGGAAGCTCCACCTACGGCCCCAATTCAATGGGATAATCCGCATGGCGCAGGCAGGCCCATTCCGGCACATCCCTGACACGTTTCGTGCCCGTTAGGGAGTCCACCTACGGCCCCAGCCGGAAAGTTTGCATGCGTCCCCCCATCACACTGCTTGTGCATAGAGAGATTCATCACCAACACTGCCAAGCGTTAGGTCCCTCGCCAGACATGCTCCCAAACCAGTGCTTGGACTAGGGGCTCGTACTTGCGTTCCCCTAAGTACTTACTTGAAGGGGTGTGTCGGGCTACTGCTTGTGCCCGGTTGGTGGTCACTCATGGGCGCCTCGCGGGTGCACCGTGCGCTGGGTTGGTGTGCCGAGCTTTCGCCGAGTGCCCATACGTGGCCGCCTGTGGGCTCCCTGTGGGCTCTGCGTGCGCTGGGTGGGCGTGCCGAGGTTTCGCTTGGTGACTGCCCGTGGCCGCCTGTGGTCGTCCGTGGGCGCCTGGTGGGCGCCCTGTGCGCTGGGGGGGTGAGCTGGGTTGCGCCCGGTGCCGTGGCCGTGGCCGCCCGTCGGAGCCTCGAGGGCGCCTCCCGAGCGGCCGCATGGCCCGCACCACACAGCCTGCACCACAGAGGCTTGCAGCACAGAGCCTGCACCACACGTGTGGCACCACACGGTTGGCACGCACAGCTTTCCCCTCGCAGCGTTCACCGCACAGCTTGCACCACGTAAGTTTGCACCACAGCTTGCTCCGTGGCCAGCGCCTGGCGCCAGCCCGCATCGGGTACGCGCGAGTAGCGTGTGGTGGAGGCCGCCTCACCTCAAAGGGACCTCGAACCACACTCGGCTTGACAATGGGGGGGAGGGGCGCAGGGAGGGCGGGGGGAGTGTGCCTCCCGCCCCGAGTAAGACCTCCTCCATTCCACCGTGTCCGCGTCGCGCGCTGGCCGCATGCTGTTTGCAGGCTCGCGGGCGTTAAGGCAGGCGCGCGGACGCTCCTCTGTCGGAGCACGGTCCCAGTGTGCGAGCGGCCTTCTTCGTGATAAGAACTCGTCTCGGCTGTCCAGCTCTTGGCTCCTGCGCTGCTGCTGCTGGTGACGCCCAGAGTTGGACACTAGAGCTCGCCCGACGACGACGACGACGACGACGACGACGACGACGACGACGACGACGACGACGACGACGACGACGGGCGCACGAAGCGGAGAGCGTGCGCGCGCCAGGTGCCGCTGGGCCTCGGCGCCCGGCGGGCCCCCCCTCGGGGAGGCCAGGGGCTGCTCTCGGGGCCTCCGCTACGCGCCTGTCTTCGGCTCCCCCTGGCGACAGCGAGGGCGAGGGGAGTTCGAGGTCATTGAACATGGCGGCTGTGGTGACGGCGATGGCGATGGCGATGGTGAGGAGGACGAGGAGTGGGAGGAATCAGAGGAGGAGGAGGCGGAGGACGAGGAGGAGGAGCAGGAAGAGGAAGAGGAGGAGGAGGAGGAGGAGGAGGAGGAGGAGGAGGAGGAGGAGGAGGAGGAGGAGGAGGAGGAGGAGGAGGAGGAGGAGGAGGAGGAGGAGGAGGAGGAGGAGGAGGAGGCGGATGAGGAGGCGGAGGAGGAGGAGGAGGAGGAGGAGGAGGAGGAGGAGGAGGAGGAGAGGAGGAGAGGAGGATGAGGAGGAGGAGGAGGAGGAGGAGAGAGGATGAGGAGGAGGAGGAGGAGGAGGAGAGAGATGAGGACGACGAGAGGGATGATGAGGATCAGGATCAGAAGGATAAGGAGGAGGAGGAGGAGGTTGAGGATATTACAAAAAGGAGGGTCAGTTGCGCATCCCGAGAACCAGCGTCCGCCTCCGAGCATTTCACCACACGTTGGCGCCGTCTGAACCACGCCGCTCACCTGAGACTTTTCAATATCTCAGAATCCCCCAACCTCAAGGGAGTGGGGAAGAGGGGGAGGGGCAGGGGGAGGGGTGGAGGAGGGAGATGGAAGGGTTGGGGGGAGAAGGAGGGAGATGAGGAGGATAACTGTGATGGCAGGTCACAGGCAGCGACATACGCAATCGTAATGGTTCATCCTGTCTGCTCGTTGTTTACGCTGAGTGCAGTGCGATGTCTGGTGCGGGACAAAGAGTGCGGTGTGTGGTGCGGGAGAAACGCCGCTTCTTTAACAAGAGATATAAACAAGGAGAGACAGTGGCTGCTGGCATTGTCGTCAGTCGTTGCTTTGTGCTCGGCGTCGTTGCATCACATCCATCCCTTGCTCCGTTTGTACTCTGTTTATGCCACTGAGGGGGACGAGTTGAAGGGCCACTCAATCGCATTGCGACTGGAACGCGTCATAGGATGATTGCGCATCGAGAATTGCAGCGGCTTTCTTGTGGTGCCATCCCCGTCTCTCGCTGGAGTTGTTGTCCGAGCAATTCCCACATGAAATATTATCGAGTGCTTCTCTCTGCCTGATCTTGTACCTCTACTGTTGCCCCCGTGTTGTGCCAAGCGCCGCGGGCTCGCGCTGTGCCTGGGGCTGCTGCTCCAGTTCGCCTGGCAGCGGAGGATGGCACTTTCCATAGTCTTGCGCCCTGTGTCTAGAACTCCGACGTCTTTCTTTCGGCAGGCACGGCACAGGCGCCAGCCCAACCTTTTCTTGCCCAAGCAGCAGGCCTCTTCGTCGGCGCCGGCGCCTTCCCCCTGCAGCCAGCCTTGCTCCCCCTGCCCCATCAGGCAGCGCATCCCCTCCGACCCGACCTCTGCATTGTGGCGGCGCCGCGTTTCCCTTTCCCTCAAGGCCGACCCCGCTCCCTCCTGCCCCACCGGGCAGCGCGCCCACTCCGCCCCGACTTCCTCATTGAGCCCGCAGAGCGGGAGTCACGGCGGGCCGGCACAAGCACGGGAATCCCGCAGCCATTGAAGCCTACGGATCGCGACGCGCCTGCCTCCAAACACGGCAAGCTGAGGGTCAACACGCCCCGTGGATGAGCGGATCCTAGCACGCTTATCTCTGAACCCACGTGCCATTCCCCTGATGTTGCTCTCTGCCTTGCGCGCCCGCCCAAGTTAACATCTACTGCCATGTAATTTCCAAACAAGTAAGCAAGTCATGCACGTGCTTCGCACCACGATGACAACACTTCTGGGGAGGTCAAAACGCTCATTTCCCTTGATATCGACCTCGGCCCTGGATGGCGCCCTCGGCCCTGGCGTTTCGCACAAAATCAATATTGACTGCGAGTGTTTTATTCTTCTTGTCATTTTTCGCCTCGTTTATCGCATTGTGCGTTTCTTTGTCCATGCGGAGCGAAAGTCTGGCTCCCAGCGCAGACTTCACAACGCAAGCCGCGAGCCGGCTTTCAATGTGAGCAATTGCGGGCCAGCTCCGAAGTGCGCCCGTGATTCTTCTGATCTTCTATAGCGTTTGCCGCAGGAGGATGAGGAGTATAAGAAGGGAGGATGAAGGAGAGGAGGAGGATGAGGAGGAGGAGGACGAGGAGAAGGAGGAGGAGGAGGAGGAGGAGGAGGAGGAGGAGGAGGAGGAGGAGTTGGACGAGGAGGAGGAGGATTTTTTTGAGCACCTTGGCTCCCGCTGCATGCTTAAAGCACACTGTAAGTGTCTGAAAGTAAGGTTACTCCTTTCGCTTTCGGATGGAGACCCTTACAAATCTTGTTCCATGCGTCAGAGTTGTACGCTGAAACTTTCTGACCTGGACACGTTTTGTTGAGTTCTGCTAAACGGGCACCACTAGTGTATCTCTGGCACACAGTACAAACGACGACAAACGACCCGTTCGAACAATCCAGGAGAATACACTTGTGGTTCAAATCCCTAAGCCGCCGAACGTCAACTTTCAAGGACTCAGAACAGTGGCCAGGGGCTGGAGCTTTGTCAGCGGCATTGCGTGACGTCCTGAGGCACCCTTGGCAACTCCAAAAACGCTGATCCCCTTCTGGCGGACCCAGCCACTCCCACCGATGGGGCGTAGCAGGAGCGCGAGAGCAAGGAGCAGGCGGAGACCAAACGGCACGGGAGAGGTCCGTGCGCGGCCAGAGAGGCAGCAACGTGGCACACAGCTTGACCGCCATGAGGGCCGAATTAACGAGGACAGTGCAATCGTTGGCTACCTCGTCCGAAGGCGCCTGGTGGGAGTCAGCTCCCAACTTGGCAGCTCTGTCGGCGAAGTCATTTCCGATTCTCCGAAACCGTTCCTCGTCGTCGATCTCGGGATCATCGATTGAAAGGTGAGCGGGCACTTTCACACATCCAAGCGTCCATTTTCCCCCCAGAGAACGACCCTGCGTCAACAACCCCGCATATGGACGCTTGGGAGAAAGTTGCTCGTGTCGGGCCATGCCGTGCATCGAAACAACATTCTGGCAATCAGAATAAAGAATTGTTGGCGCGGAAAGAAGAGCGCAAGCCATAGCATAAGCCGAGAATTCTCCCGCCTGTGGTGTCTGAGGGCAGCTATCCCAGACAGGCCCCCAACACCACGCCAGGAGGTTCGACCGAGGACCTAGCATTGCCAAGCCCCATCCAGCACGATTAGAACTGCGAACTACCTGGCGAGAGCACGAACCGTCTAAAAATACGTGGCCCCACATCTGTCGCCGGCCATCGCGAGGCACCTCCATGCCTTCCGCAGCGAAGCCGTCGGGAAAAAACTGAAACTGGATACCATCATCCTCCTCTGATTTACTGTCGGACTTAGGGGGCGGGAGCACACGCTGGGGGTGGCCAAACAAGCCAGAGGTAAGATGGAAACGCTCTTTCTCAGGAACAGCCGCAAACTTCCTCAAAACCTGCTCGATAACTCTGTCAGGAATCACCGCCCTCCTCTCCTCCTCCACCGCAGTACATACATACAGCCGATGAAAGATCGTGTCTCCAGGCTGAAGACACAGCGGGCAACGATCCTCGACTTCGTAGCCTGCTGCTCGAGCGCGGGCGTAGGGCCAGATTCCTTGACAGGCACAACAACGGATCGTTCCTTTTTGGCGAGCCGTAAACTTCTTAGAACGCAGGGCTTTCGTGACGACATCAAAACATAAAGACTCGACCCCATCAGGGCCGTACTTGCGGGCCGCTTCCCTCTCCAACGATCGCCAAACCCCTTCCCTGAGAAAAACTTGGAGGAGGGAGGGAGGGGTGAGGGTGAGGGAATGCTCAACCCCAAGGTCGCTGATCATAACAAAAGGCGAGGGCATACTCCATCCCAGGCGGGCCAAGGACAGTTTCATGGCCCCGATAGGCCCGCTCACGGTACGCCAGGTCCAAGAACGACCGAACACATCGTGCCACATGTTTCGGAGCTCCGACCAGGCAAAACAAAATTCCGTGACCCTCGTGGCACGAGACCAGACTTCCTTGGCCCACCGAAGGGCTGGCGCGACAGCACCCCACCATGCGGGGTCGCCTTCAATCCTACTGAGAATGGTTAAACTGCGGCCACCACGGGTAGGCTTCATCGTGGAGGCACAAAGACGTCTAACTTTGGTTAACTCTCCATCACTGACTCCGTGAACCTCCGCCCCATAATTTAAACCCGCAATGGGGTCCAGCCGAGCAAAGCTTTGTAGCCCTCGGTCCTAGAACTCCTCTTTGAGGAGCCAGCCTGCCTGCACGCCTAGAGGCTCTCGCAAAACGCGCCTTCGCTCTGCTGTTGCGCCCTCGGACGCGCCTGGCACAGCCTGCAGTGTCATCAATCCCCAAGTTGACGAACGATTCGGTGAAATCTCCTCCAAGCCCCCCCAGACGTTTCTGGACATGCCTGGCGATTTCCTTGGACGACGCGACAAGCCCGACTTTGTCAGGGGAAACTTTCGCAAAAAGGACATTGTCGATGATCTCCTCGACGGACTGGGCCGCTCTCGGGAGTTCTTTCATGATGCGCCGAGCAGTCCCGATCGCATTAACCCCTAAGTCGTAAATGTAAGCATCAAACGTGATTCCCTTGGGGACCTCCAGCTGATCGAAACCACGAAGGGCAAATATTCTGATCATAGTGGTGGCGAAATTACACCCCGCTATGATTCCAACTCTCGCGTAAGTCGGAGGCGCTACCACTCCAGCTAGCACCATGAAACGGGAAGGACGGTATCCCGCCATGCACATCGGTGAGCGCATCTGGGAAACCGTGTTGCCTGCATCGAAATGCCAGAAGTTCGAGAGGGATGCGCTCGTAATATTTGATAAAGTCCCAGAGGAGTGTACGGGCCTGCTGCCCGCAGGCTCGGGAGGACTCCGAACGGGCGGCCTGCCGCCAAACAACATCGCTCGCAGACTTGAATTTTCCCGCCGCCCAGTACTCTCTCTGGTGTTCCCCTTCCCACTCCACCGCGTAGTCTCTCCTACATTTCCCCCGTAATCTGTGCAGACTGGGGAAAACCCCGATGGGGCGGAAACCAGTGGAGGGCTTCGGCAGCATAGCGACTATCACAGCCTCCAGCTGAGGGGGAAGGGTGCCCGTGAGTTCCATAAGCGTGAACAAACGCGAGAGGGCCAATAAGGCCCCGTCGGACAGCACAGAAAAGTGTCTCATGTGAAACCCATCCAAGCCTGTGGCAGACCCGTGGGCAAAAGTGCGAGAAACCTTACGAATGGTGTCCACCGAGATACAAGGGAGGGGGGTATTCACTTTCCCTGGCCTTTTCTGTGGTAGTGGCAGCCCTTCCCACAAGGAGCGGAAACGATCAGCTTCGGCGGTGAGGAGCGCCTGCGGGTCCGACACCACACAGCCTCCTGCACTGAGCGTCGTAGAGGGCGACCATCCTTGAGGGTCTTTAGTGTAGCCGTGCGCTCTGCGGCCACCTTGATCAACATTCTCAGCGAGCCAGTCTGCCCAATCTCGTCTGGCCTTGGCCGAGAAGAAGGCGCTACACTGTGAGACAAAGTCGGTGACCTGAATCGAGACCTCTTCGACTTGGGCCAACAAAACCTCCTGAGCCTCAAGGGGGCTAGGATCAGAGCCCGACCCCTCCAAGGGGTCTTCCAAAACTTTGAGGTCCGAGATCACCGAGGAAACGCTTTTCAAAACAACTTCCATCCCAGGGAACAGGTTGTCGGGCTTACTCAAACTGGGGGGGGGGGAGACGACGGCGAGCGCCCCGCGCCCCGAGCCTGAGGCCAATCCCCCCGCTGCACACAGGAGAGAAGACGTTTGAACTTCGAAGCGAGCCAGCGGCTGGCGTGCAACTGCGGGTACCGAACGCAACCGTGATCTTTGCTGAGGATCGGCCTCCAATGAGTCTTGGGCCCCTTGCCCCTAGTCCCCAAAACTGGAAGTTGAACCCCGAAAGTCCTTGAAAGTTCCCGTTCAGCAAGACCTGCCCAAGATGCGTAAGCTTCACGAAATAGGCGAGAAGTCACGACCCCATCGTCCCCACGCCTCGCACGAATGAACGCCGCGTCCAGCTGAGTATGCACGCGAGTAAAGTCCATCGGCTCAGGCTGAGCGGCACTTCCGATGGGAGCGGGGGCGGGCGTCTGAAAGCGAGGTAGTGCATCTGGGCCAGTCCAGCATGAAATTCAAGGCAAACTGGGCTGTGAGGAAAGAAAGCAGCGTCCTCTAGGATGCGCACCTCGGCGGCGCCCTTGGAGAGCCCAGAAGATGCAACGAAGTAGTCGTAGACTTTACCAGCGCCGGCGTGGCAAGTAGGTTTGCTGGGGTCGATGACTTGACCAACCAGGGTGCTCACGAAGTGGGACTTGGCGAGTTCGGAGGGCTCCATGTTCCAATCCCCCCCGACAAGGAATGGTTTCCCGCGGGTGGACCCTTCCGCCCCTATCGCCGACAGTATTTCGAGGTTGGCTTCTGAGAGCCCTTCCGAGTCGCGCATATACACCGAACAAACTTGAAACACGTCCCCTTGGGGCGCGTGCACCAAGGCCGTGATGGCCCTATGGGGAGCCAGCTCGAGCCCCGAGGGCGCCAGATGAAGCCCAAGATACGCGCGACACAGGATGGGCACTCCAGCCGAAGGGCCGCCTTCAGGCCCAGTCGTGCCAGGGATCCAAAGTGATTTGAAACCGAGGCCGAGACAAAAAGCGGAAGCTCTATCCAGAGCTTCTTGAGTCAAAAGCTTGTGCTCTTGGACGAGAAGGACCTCTGCTTCTACACTGGGGAGCCACTCTCTCACCGACCCCCGGGCGTTACCATTAATCGACACGACCCTGAGACGGAACGACTGGTAGCCTGGAGGTGGCGGAGGGAAAAAGGGGCCTCCAAGAGAAGCGCACGAGTGCCCTGGCACCGAAGGGTTCTGAACCGTTGCTGGCGCGTTACGACAAATATTTCGAGGCGAAACGAGGGAAAGTAGGGCGCGAGGAGGAGGGGTGCTAGCAGCCTGTGCAGACCGTCGAGCTCCCTCCGAGAAAACCGAACTGT